TTATCTCACCTGGCATGTGCTTTGAATGCCAGAAGCTCAAGGTCTATAGTCTGCAGATTTGGGTTGTTTCGCTTCCTTGGAAAGGCGTCTCAGGTCTGGACTGCAAGAGTGTGCTTGGATGTGCAGACATCGTCTGGCTCAAACTGTGGTCTAAACTCCAACCTCGTCGCTCGAAGCTACCAGAACGAATTTGATGAACAACACGCATGCTATAGCTGCTATAGCGCCCTCAGCATGAAGTAGATCCGGGTCTACAACCTTTTACCCTTACCCCCCCCCCCCCCCCCCCNNCACAGATGCCACAGCACCCTCAGCATGAAGTATATCTGGGTCTACAACCTTTGCCCTTACCCCGCGGTGCTCCATGTGGTGCACTTCAAGCGCCTGGTTCGGCTGCAATTGCCACAAGGACCAAGACCAGCTTGCCGCCCCACTGGGGCACCTTTCAGTTTTCTGGGTGGTTGTTGCAAGTAACTAAGTAGTGCTCATCTGCAAGTTGCTGCGTCAATCACAGGGAAAAATTACGGATTGAAGGGTCTAAGATTCTTGTGTTGGGTTTCCATCATGGCAAGGACGTCTCAAGCTAACTTCAGCTCGACGCCGAAGCCGAACATCACATTCCTCAGTCACAAATCTTGCAGTTCAGATCCACCTCCCAATCTGGCGCCGCTGTGACGTTGCCGGAGCTGGGAAGCAAAAGGGCTGGGATGAGGCTTTCCGGTGGCCAGAAAGGCTTCAGCGCGTGCTTCCGATTGAGTTCGGGCAGAGTCAAGGCCTAGGCTTGGCAGCTAGACAGCAGGTTAACGGTTCGTTTTGGGATCGAACGCGCTACAGGCACTCCATCACCTCAGCAGAATTTTAGAAAAATTCACGGTTTGCTCCCACCCCTCTTGGGCCTGAGGTCTGCCGCAATTCCTCTCACGAACTCCCTCATTCAGGCTTCTGAATGTGCTATGCTTTCGAAACTGTGCGTTCGTTTAGGGCTTCCGAGTCTGGTCTGTTTTGGTGTCTGCAGTCCTAGGGCCTCTGAAAACTGTAGTCTTGCCGCACTTTCGGGAGTGGTGCTTCAAGCTGGTTATATTCAGAATCTTCCTATCTGTTTGCCTTGCTTCGCTGCCTACTGTTTTGTTGGAGCGCTTGTGCCACCTCCTCTACCACCACTACCAAAACCGAACCCTGAACTCTCACACCATTCTCCTGAGCCGCAGAGCCCCAAAGCACGAAATTCTCTGCACTCTAACGGGCCTGTGCTCGTGGACCAGTGCCATGGCAGCCTCCTCGTCGTGGGACAGAGCGGCCCTGAACTCCGCAGACGGAGTTTCGGGACTCATGCAAGCTTCGTGAGGGCGCACTCTTGCTCCTACCACTAAAGCCCCCAACTCCACCGAACATCGGATCCTGGCCTGAGCTGTGCCAAAACGGCAATGGTGGTAGGATGCTGGAAACCTCGCCGTGCCGAAAAGTCAGCTATCCAGGGCTGAGCGTTGAAGTTGAAGGTTGACTCTTCGCTTTAGGAGTTGGGTACGAAGGTTTGAAGCATCGTTGAATCTGACTTTTGCATTGAACCTTGGCCAAGGCATATCAAGCAGAAAGGCTTTGGCCGATTCAACAGATCGGGGAAGGACTCCAACACCTAAACCTGAGTTTTTGAAACCTATGCCCCGGCTACCCAGCGACTCAAACATCGAGTCCACGTCCAGCCGACCCCGAAGAACAAAAGGCAGTCGGCACCTAGGGTTTGCTGGAGGCCAGCCAGCGCTTGCCGAAAGGCCGCCACGCCCTGAGGTGCGGCATGCATGCTGATGTTGCCACATCTGAAACAAAATATTCGATGTCCAAATTGCAGAGATCCGGACAGCAACGTGCAACGTAGCCTGGGGTCTGGTTTCGATAAAAGTGCAGGTTTTCGTGCCTTTGCCTATGCACCTAAGCTACTTTCTGACCGGCTGTTTCGGGTGCCTCCCTGCCAATATGTTTCGAGACAATTGCAATCATACCTTTTCACGAACTCATCTTGGAGGCCGATGGTTCACAGACAGACTGCGCATTCGGGAGATGGGAGGGCCCGATCCCCTGCGGCAAGTATACAAACGATAAAAGGTCGAATCTAGCATTCAGGGAGGGGCATCCCATGTATGAGATCCGTAGAGCCGCAAGCCCTGGCAGCAAGCCCTGGCAGCAAGCCGGTCGGTGGGGATGAAAATCTGTCATCTCAGAACTCATCAGAGACTTGCACGAACAGCACTCAGTGGACTTCATGCGATACGTGCCCACAACAGCGCTGCTGCCGTCGCAATTCCAGGAAAGCCACAGACATTGTCCAAACAGTGTCCAAACCAAATCCTGCACTTCCATGTTGTGCGCACGCACCCTGCATGCACTGATGCCCACCTCCTCTGGGCGGCTGGCCACAAAGAGGGTAGCGCCCAAATCACGGCGAGCCTCACGGGGCTTGCACGGGTCAGCGTTCGAAAGCAAACGAAACCCCTGGAGCGCCACTTTACGGCTGCGCAGCATTCAAGCGGAGCATTCAGGCTTCAGGGATGCGGCTGGCTGAAATGCGCTCAAAGGATAGTGGAATCGCAGGTCACGAGCTGCGGTTCTCTTCAGCCATGTGACTGGGACCAGATGTCATGCGGTAGGTCTCTTCGATTCCATCGCCGCCTATTCCTCTACCATAATGTGGCGTGCCTGGTTGCGGAACCGCAATCCCATGTCACTGGACACCTTTACTAGGCCGTTCAACCATCCGAGGCGGAAGATTTTTTCCTCACGCTGGCGGTCCCCGGTCTCGTTTGCTAACGTTGGCTCTTCTTTGTTGATTGCAAATACTGTAAATTGCAGCACTTGCTACTGTTTTGCATCAAGCTATTGCGGAATTGCAAGTAGAAGGGTGGCGTTTTGCCGCAAGCTATTGGGGGATTCCNNTATTGGGGGATTCCAATTTCGAGGCTCCTGTCTTGTGTCAAGCTATTGGGAATTGCAATTAGTAGGGTTTCGTTTTGCTCCAAGCTATTGTGGGAGTGCAAATTCGAGTGTCCTGTCTTGTGTCAAGCTATTGGTGAATTATAATTTGCAGGATCTTGCTTTGTTTCAAGATATTGGGGAATTATAATGTGCAGGGTTTCTGTGCAGAGAATTCCAACGTTGTCGGGTATTGTTTTGCCCCAAGCTATTGGGGGAGTGCAATTTCGAGGTTCCTGTCTTGCGTCAAGCTATTGAGGAACTACCATTTGCAGGATTTTGCGTTGTGTCAAGCTATATTGGCGACTTCCAACTTGTAGGGTATTGCTTTGCCCCAAGTTATTGGGGAATTACCATTTGCAGGGTTTTGCTTTGCGTCAAGCTATTGGGGAATTCCACTGTGCAGGGTCTTCTTGCTTTGCGTCAAGCTATTCGGCAATTACAATTTGCATGTTTTTGCATTGTGTCAAGCTATTGGGAGTTCCAAGTTGCACAAGCTATTGGGGGAATACAATTCATAATGTATCGCCCCTCGTGTGGTGGGACCGGTTCATCACATTTCTCAAGCATGTGCGATCCAGCTTCATCAAGCGATTCCGGTTCATCGTATACCTATAACACGCCTCCCCTCACCCATGGGGCGAGTTGTTGTTGTTGTTGGTGGTGCCGGCGGCGGCGGCGGTGGTGGTGTCGGTGGTGTTGTTGTTGCTGCTGTTGTTGGTGTTGCTGCTGGTGGTGTTGGTGTTGGTGTTGGTGTTGGTGTTGGTGTTGGTGTTGCTGTTGCTGTTGCTGGTGCTGGGCTGGTGCTGGTGCTGGTGGTGTTGTTGTGGTTGTGGCTCAAGGCCATTGCGGATCGGGCCCTGGTCTATAGGTGGGTGCGGGCATAAGTAGGACCTTGAGAGGTACCTACCTCCGCCGGCAGCGGTTCCACCCGCCGATGTCTCTATCAGGGCTTCTGAAAGGATCCATATGCGCGTTGTTTTTGGACCAGAGGACCAGGGGCCTAGGCCAACCCTACCAAGGGCCCCAGAAAAACTGTCAAGACAAATCCAACGCAATCGGACCTCCCAGACAAGAGCCAACGTTAGGGAAAAAACAGGGCCCAACCATCCGATAGTTACCATGATTGAGGGCACCTGTGTTTCCATTAACTCAAGCTCGGAAGCTAGTTGCGCAACACCAATCGGGTTGGGGCTTGGGACACGTTGAACAATTGCAAGAATCCCACCCCACCCATCCCTACGGCTATTTGGATCCGGAAACAGCAACAGTTTTGGGATTGAACCCCAAGCGCTTGCTAGCTTCCAAAATCCCGAGCCTGCAGTGGTTGCAAGGATTCTAGACCCAACATCGGCCACTGTCAATGGGGCGGGGGCCACAGATGCCCTTTCAAGTTTCGAAAGAGCGATATCAATGCCGACAGCCTCCTCCCGTAATCGCCAACATCAAAGAACCCACGAAGGCGCCTCTAGAGCTTCTGGGTGTGACGCACCCAGCAGTTGATGCTTTCCCTGGCATTGGACTTCGGCGTTCTCACAAGATGTTGCAGGAGGTTTCAGGGATTGGGGCAAGCCCTTCGGGACAGAGTTTGCAAAGCTCAACAACTCAACGTTAGACTTCGGGTCAAAGGCCCTTCAATGACCCTTCTCGATCCTCGATCCGAATCCAAAACGCGCAATCTGCAATCACAACCGTAGAGCGCACGTACACGATTTTGAAAGACTCAAGAAATTGCAAGCGCTCCAAATACGGAACACGTGGCCGAACACTCCAGCACAGGAAATCTAAACTCCGCGCTACATATTCGAAACAACACCATCAAAGTCGTACACCCTCGAATCGGCCGGGCGAAGCACCACGTAAACCTACACTCCTACACTCCAACACACGCAACAATCTGCAAACCAAAAAACACCCTGAAGCCCTGACATCTCCAAAGAGCCGCAACCATTGCACTCTTTGAAGGCTCACGACATTGGACCATGCCTCGGCAGCTTCGCGCGCCACCAAGGCTGCAGCCTTGAGACAGTAACCACAACAAAAACAGGTGATGAGTGTCTCTGGTTTTCAACTGCGTAGGGTAGGACAACTTAATTCCTGCGACTAGGAAATACAAACTGGCCGCTCTCACAACCGGTAAATTCATGAATCTCAGCAGCGCCCATGCCGACAACATTAACTGCCGGTACATTAGTATTCACAGCATATCCATGGACGCGAGCCGCAGCAAGTTGGTGCACCAAGGGCGCTGCGGGTGCCGGGCAAAACGTCGGGGAGGGGCACTGCCGTAAAGACATAATCTGCAAGGCCCATTACCATGCAAGTGTAGATGACTACCTCCAGGGCTCCACAGCATGGAGCTCTAGACCGATATACTGAATCATCAAGCCCTGCAGCTCCAACCTGCTTCTCCGGCCTGCGCAGCTGCGGCATCACCAAGTTGCCCGCGGCTTGACAGTGCGAGGCTCAAATTCCTCGAAGGGTCGTTGAGGCTGGGCTGCTTGTACCCTCCGGTGAGGGTCACAGGTTCATGACATTAAAGTTTCGAACTCTGGTGCTACGTATTGGAGTTGGGGTGACATACGGAAGTCTCCTCAACCGTTCCATGGGGTTTCCAGGAAGTGCTGGCAGGCAAGATCTCGAACTTGAGTTAATTGCACTCTAAATCCCTAAACCTAGTCAATCAAGCTTCTGCAATATGAAGGCTATGAGCTTGAAAATGCAGCTTCCACGCGCTGATGCACTGCTGACGCACTCTTGCAATCCAGAAGAGCTCACGCAAAGGCTGCGGGTGAATCGTGGGTGTTTTTGAAACTCTGCTCTGATATTGTTCGTCGGTATCGCAAATCTCGACCGTGTGCTTGTTTGATTTTGACCGCTTTGTAATTGTACAGCAACCCGAACACTGGCATGTTGGTGGCTTGTGGGAAGACGCGGTGCGCAACTCTGAGCATTTTTGCTTACCCGGTGATGCTTGCCATCGCATGCAGATACAGCACAAAATCTAGGTTTGCTTCAGAGAGGAGGGCGCGGTCTCGCAGCACCAATGCCACAACGACTGACTACCTTTGTTTCGGCGACGGTGAAGTGCTTGCCACACCCTGAACTGCTTGCACTCTTTCGAGGCAAGCTTCAAAGAATTGTCGCAATCGTCTTGTGCTCATATAGCACGCGAACTGCATACTTTGCAGAAGAAGATGCATATTTGTTGATGTCCGTGTGTGGCTATGGTCTACCCCGCTGACACTGCGGGTACAATATGCATGCGAGTATCTGCTTAAACATCTCTCGTTACAACACAACCTACTGAGCAGTCGCATAAGCGCAAATCCGAAAACCCGTGCATTCTCAGCCGTCTAGTGCAGATGGATCCCTGTTGTAAGGATGTTGGGGCCCTCCGGAAGCGAAGGTCCATGGCACATTATGCATGTTGACATTTTCTTCCCAAGCATAGGGCGTATCGTCGTTTTTGGTCAACACGAGTTTCGCGAAGTAGACCCTGTGCTGCCTCCAACCTTGCCCCCCCCCCCCCCC